CCAAAGTAATGAGATTTCATACCCCAAGAACACAAAAGGAAGTTAATATTGTAATGCATATGATTTTATGCCAACCGGACCTAATAAATGAGTCAGCTTACAAATTCAAGTCCTGGTGTAAAACGTAAACAAAAACTAAGTCAGCTATATTACCCACACAGCGAGATGAATTCATCACTTTTTTTTTTTTTGTTCGAAATCTTAACATTGTCACTATAAATCCAACTTATTAAGTCAAAGTATTGAATATCTTACATGACTACAATTTAAAAGCTTGGGACACTTCTATCCAGTGTTTCTTTCAGAAATGTTCCCCCGGGAGTGGGGCACTTCAGATTTTCGGGGGGGGGGGCCCTTTAGATAAAAGCTCCCAGTCACGGTCGACAAGGTCAACTAAATAACAACCTCATATTTTTGCTCCGGGGGGGGGGGGCACTTGGCTAAACCCGGGGGTAAACCCTAGCTGAAAGAAACCCTGCTTCGATCACTTTCTCGTCGATGTGGTCTTAACTAAATACTTTTAAAATGCAATAAAAGGCCTTTATAATGAGATAAAATGCGGTTTTCAAATATCAGCTATTTGCAGTCCCGAAAGAAAGTGTGTGTGCGTGGGGGGGAGGGGGGCACTGTCAGTTGAAAGATTATCTAAATGACAATGATAATAATTTTAAAAAAAAAAACTACATTATATCAAAAGAAAAGAAAGAACAAAATGTCTTTTTTAAATGAAACGTATGGGCAAAGAATGACAATGCATGAATCTCTACAACTACCATTATAATGTAAAAAATATATATATATATTGTTTTTGGAACTACTGTGAGGTGGGTCTATGCACATGCACCCCTTCGCATGTCCTTTTACATTATCTTAGAATCTTAAATGTATGATTTTTAACTATATTTTTTTATCATCAGGGTAAACTTTAAAAATGTTGTAGGCAGCACTTGATTGGACATTCGAGTCCACTGTTGGCAACTATCTAATTACATTATTTCCAACATGGCTATGGTATTTGGGTCATTGGTCACATATAGATCAACGGTCTTTATGCTCATCGAATATAAGGTTAATCCACGAGCTCTTGCTCCGGCGACCCCACCCTACATTGACTAAATTCATTTTGGAGTGGCGCCCTAGGTTAGTTCTATCCCTGAAATCTATGTTGTCCGACTATTTATAGTTAAAGAAAAATAAAAGTTAAACCTACTAGCCTTCGGTTTGTTTGTTTGTTTAAGTTTAATGGATAATGGTGACACTATGAGTAAGGTATTTAAGATACTTTTTTTAAAATAGAAAGGAAACATTTAATTTTTATCATTCTGAGATTGAAACCGGGACGAAATTCAAATTAGTCCGGCGGAAGGGAGAAGGCTGCGAAACTAGGACAATCCTGTTGAACTCGGGGAAAATGGTAAGTTTACCTAATGCCAATAATATAGTTCTGGTGGGTTTGACTATTGTGACTTAATTTTAACAATGGCTTCTATAGTACATAGTTAAAGTTTATTAGGCTCAATAAGCAATATTAAAATTCATTTATATTTAAACCATCAGTAGAGAAAAAATTAATAAATGACCCACCCCCTCACCAAAAAAAAGGGCAATAATCTGGCACAGTAGGCCTTACAACAGCGGTTCTCAACCGGTGGGTCGCGACCGCTTTTGGGGTCGCGCGACCCTTTTCCAGGGGTCGCCTAAGACCATCTGAAAACACATATCCTTACAGCGATGAAGTAGCAACGAAAATAATTGTGTGGCTGGGGGTCGCCACGACACGAGCAACTGTATTAAAGGGTCGCGGCACCAGGAAGGTTGAAAACCACTGCCTTACAAGTTGAAATCGGAACGGAAGTGTCATAATGTTTTGCTTTTATTTGTTTTTATCGTGGATGAAATTTTCATCGGGGACCTCATTCTAATTATAGTTATATGTTGATGCAGTATCATCAGTCACCATTTTAAGTATTATATTTAATTATCAGTTGATTATAATGCAGGTTTGGTTTGACTGCGTGGCTAAAAACAGGGAACGAGTGACATGGTCAGAAGGCTTTTCAAAAATGAAAACAGAGAAAAGAAACGTGCTAAATTTAAAAATAGAGAGGTTACATTCCCTAATCAAGGGTTGCCATGTACCCTTTTCATAAATACCAGACACCTTATCGGAGCTCAACACAAAATGTAAAAAAGGGGGGGGGCGGAGGGGCGAGAGTATTATAATTTTATGTACATTAAATCCCCAGTATATTTTTCTGCACAGTCTGCTGAAAACCAGACTGTCCAGATCAAACTGGTTACCTGGTAACCCTATCCTAATTAGATAAATTGCAGACAATGAATAAAGCTAAATGTTATCAGAGCACTCTCTATCATCTATGCATTCTGGTTTTACTGATAAAATTATTGACCGAAGTTTGAGAAAGAAAATGCTTCTCGTTGTGTTTTTAGTTTGATAACAATAATTATTTGTGCAGCTCCAACTTGCTTTGTTCCTGATTTATTTAGTGCAAATTCACTTTTAATTTGTATCTTATAATTAATATAGAAAAAATACCATTGATACAAAATTATATTGTAAAAAACAAAGATGATGGCATTAGCAAATATCATCTAAGGTGATTCTAGTCCAATAATATTATGGTTCAGTTATAGTCAGGGTGATTCTAGTCCAATAATATTATGGTTCAGTTATAGTCAGGGTGATTCTAGTCCAATAATATTATGGTTCAGTTATAGTCAGGGTGATTCTAGTCCAATAATATTATGGTTCAGTTATAGTCGGGGGGTGATTCTAGTCCAATAATATTATGGTTCAGTTATAGTCAGGGTGATTCTAGTCCAATAATATTATGGTTCAGTTATAGTCGGGGGGTGATTCTAGTCCAATAATATTATGGTTCAGTTATAGTCGGGGGGTGATTCTAGTCCAATAATATTATGGTTCAGTTATAGTCGGGGGGTGATTCTAGTCCAATAATATTATGGTTCAGTTATAGTCGGGGGGTGATTCTAGTCCAATAATATTATGGTTCAGTTATAGTCGGGGGGTGATTCTAGTCCAATAATATTATGGTTCAGTTATAGTCGGGGGGTGATTCTAGTCCAATAATATTAAAATATAAGGATTCGGTTACAGTCAGGGTGATTCTAGTCAATAAAATTGAGTACCAGTCGTCCCTCGTTCATCTGCATTAATCGGTTCCAGACTCTACCGCGGTAAGTGAATTTCCGTGCATTAGGATTCTTTAACTTTATTTATAAATGGAACATGTTCGTAGTTAGAGCATAGAACTCTCCACATACGGTTTATAACCTTATTAAACCGCCTGGGGGTGCTCGAATACATAGACTCACAGTACATTCGTACAGTAATTTTAATTGCATTATACAGGGGTGTATCATTGACTCAAACGATCGCGCTCTATATCATTTTCACTATCACGATCAACTTCTTCATGAATGCATGTTGTATTTGGAAGGGGAGAAAACCGCGATAGAGTGACGCCTCTAAAGTCCAAACTTCGACGTGGCGAGGGACAACTGTATGCAATACTTACTGGCAATGATACTGATCATGATTTAATCCATTGTAGGTCAAAAGGTCACGATTATAATAATACATAGCTATTAAGTTTATGGCAGGGTAAAGCAGTATTGAATTTGATGCAAAATAAACCAAATTATATAATTAGGTAATAGTCATGTAATTATGTAATAGTCATATAATTATGTAATAGTCATATAATTATGTAATAGTCATATAATTATGTAATAGTCATGTAATTATGTAATAGTCATATAATTATGTAATAGTCATATAATTATGTAATAGTCATATAATTATGTAATAGTCATATAATTAAAACATTTATATGGAGAAAAAATTACAATATAATGGAAACAAATGTGAAAGAAAATAGAGAAAACAAGGAGATTTCTCTTCAGAAAACATTTGCAGTGGACAAAAAAAGATGAAAAGCTAATAGAAAGGAAATGAAATCACAGACTGACCCTGGTTAAAGTGGCATAACAGACTGACCCTGGTTAAAGGGACACCACAGTCTGAACCTGGCTCAAGTCCATACAAAATAACGCCAGCTAGCCCTAAAGCAAGTGGAAGTCAATTTTTACTAACTTGTGTTTGTGTGTTGTGTCTGTGTGTTTGTGTGTGTGGTGAGGTGTGTGTCTGCGTGCGCGCTTGTGTGTATGTGTAAACTCCGAACCCCCAAAATGCCCGAGTATATTTACTATGCTCCTACAACCCCAACAAAAATAAATAGATATCTAACATAGCATTAACCCCCCCCTACCCCCCCCCGAAACCCTAAAGAAATCCCCGTTCCTATTATAGTGAACCTTCATTAATATTACACCGCTTGAATGGAATTAATTATTTTCATTTTTAATCAACCACCCCCCCCTCGCCCCCAATCCTACAACCACGAAAAAATGTGATTAGAATTGCAGGAGTTCTGTGACTTTTAGTTGTGTTTAGTTTTATTTACAAAATAACATAATACATTTTAGAGTTTGGAAAGACAGACTGTTTCCAACAACTGCATCTGGAAAAATAAAGCTCTAAAATCGTCTGGTTTTGTCAGCTTCTTTACATGCCCCTTTAACAGCTTCAGATGATCTTTCATGCTAGGCAACACAGAAATGTCTCGTTCATGAGGGTCATCAAGGAAGTGGTGAGATGGATGTGAGGACATTGTCATGTAATATGAACTGACAAGGTAAGTAAGCAATGATAAAAAGTCATTAAAGTCTTTTTTGAGTACATAGTTGGCTCCTATAACTTTCTCATACAAGGGTGATGATGGGGCAGTTTCATGGGTGGAAACAATGTCAATGCGCATTGGCTGGGGAAATGGCCTTTGAGAGCTTCCAAGATCTGGTTCAAGTAAAGATGTTGACAGTGTGACACCGTTCAGTACCTCTCTCATCTCTTTTGATGATGCCAGGTCAAGGGCTGTCCATCCGTCTGTGGTCTTGGCGTTCAAAAGCTCTTCGCCCCCATACTGTATCAGCTGCCTACAGATTTCCACGTGGTCATTTTTAACCGCATCTATCAAAGGTGTGACATTGTATTCTCCTCCCACGGCATTAAGGTCCACTTTACATGCAGAGGGATCCCCTTGCTCTGAAGCATTGCTGGTGGCTGTGCCAGGAACATAATCGAGCAACAGCATGACACAGCCGTAGCTGCCATGATTGCAAGCCTCGTGCAGTGGCGTCCAGCCATCGTTGTCTTTCAGGTTAACATCCACACCGGGTACTGCCAGCAACTGCTTCAACTTTTCCACGTTATTTCTCTTACAGGCAATATGAACTTTGGATGCTCCGCAACAATTTTTTTTGTTTACTTGGTATGCAGTCATCAAAGATCTTTCGGTAAATCTGTGGTCTTGGTGGGGAGGTGGCACTAGGAAAAAATATTGAGACACAATGCTGGACAGCGAAATCTTGTAAATTTGAATTTTTTCTGAGAGCAGGGAGTCGTTATAACTCGACAAAATAACAGCTATCACAAGAGTCCTCAGCCAGCAGGGCTTGACAGAGCAGATGACAAGTGCCGCTGTGTCAAAACCATGTATGCTAAGACAGTGCTGTATCCTTTTGGCCAGATCACGGCCAAGGGCTAAAGCTGGGTCAGCAACGAAATTAGGATCTTCAGGATTCCACTGGACACTCGCAAGACGAACACATTCTGCTGCTATACTTATAAGGGAACACAGCGCGACACACAAAGGTACATTGGGCTGAGGGCTAATAATAACATCCTCCAAAAGACTCAGCAGTTGACTTGTTGCGTCACTGTGCAATACAGAATCTGGACTTACCCATAGCCACTTGGATATCATGCAGCTTTGTAGAACACTTACGCCTCCTTTCTTGAGGCAGTGGTTAAAATTGATTTGGAACATCGATACACAGAGCTCGACAAACCAGACAGCGGTGAAAGGCTCTTCATTCTCCATACAGGATTTTATTGTATCTATGAGACCACCGTTGTCGTGGTCTAGTCTAAACGCATCTGAATATGATTTGACAGTTTCTGGAGTGACAGCGGGGTGTAGAACGAGCCATTCCCTTAGGTATAAGTTGGCCTTGGTTCTGGTCACAGATTCGGGACATTGCAAAAGAATAATCAGTTCTTTTATCAATGAAGTGCGTGGCTGCCTGTCAACACGAGGGGCTGCATAATCACAGGATATCTCGTATAATTCAAGCTCCCTAGCTGACCCCATCCATGTTTCATTTAGGTCATTCATCTCTGGTCGAGCTTCATATCGACCTCTACCTATCCCTACTGGATATGAGAATCTCCAACCCGAATGGGTTGCTACAGGCTCTTCGGGGGTTGTGTTGTCAACCTCCCGATTCTCAGACTCGGGTGTTGGGTTGTCAACCTCACCATTCTCAGACTCTGGGGTTGCGTTGTCAACCTCCCAATGCTCAGACTCGGGTGTTGGGTTGTCAACCTCCCAATTCTCAGACTCGGGTGTTGGGTTGTCAACCTCCCAATTCTCAGACTCGGGTTGTGTGTTGTCAACCTCACCATTCTCAGACTCGGGTGTTGTGTTGTCAACCTGCCAATACTCAGACATCTTCATTTTCTTCATGTTTCTGAACTCGTTCACTCCTGACGATTTCCTCTCTGCTCAACGTCTTGATAGCTGAGGCAGGTGATTTGTCTACCAATGGTTCTACAGAGGGTATAAATGAATTTAAGAGAGAATTAATTATGTTATGTTGAAGTTATTATGCAATACATTAGGGACAAATGAACTCGCGCTATTACAAAATCCCAGCTCAAAAATACTTAATTAAGCTTAAAAGTTAATATTGTTTGTCGTTTTTTTTTTTTTTTTTTTTTTTTTTTTTTTTTTTTTTTTTTTTTTTTTGTTGAATTATGTTTTACTTTTTTTTTTTTTTTTTATGTTTTTTTTTTTTTTTTTTTTTTTTTTTTTTTTTTTTTTTTTTAATAATATAGTTTGCGTTTACAGCTGAATTATGCTTTAATTTTTATTTATTTTTTTAAAAATATTCTTTTTGAAACAGAAACCGCTATTAATAATAATAATAATACTTTGATAGAGATTGAGCTAACATTTGTCTCGGAGAAGTCTGAGTTTTTTGTTATCTGACTTGTTGAAACAAATTCATTACATTTTTTAAAAATTTGTGTTGAAGTTGTCGTCAATGTTGATCTTTTCCCTTGAGACTGGATCATGCGTTCATTATTTCCACATATTTTCTTTTTGTTTGCCCTCATATTGGGATCCAAATATTGGAAACATAGTAGGTAGCATTTGAATTTAAGAGCTATTTCAAAGGAAAAGGAAGTGGATTTATGATGGATAGTGTGGATCTTTGTGGATAATATCCGAACACCAACGCAAGGTTATTTATATATAACGACCCTAATTTTGTTGTTAATCAGTTACACTGTAGCTCAAATTCACTGTCTGGTAATGTTGATTCGATAAGGACGTTCAATTTTTTGTGTTCACTCTATCTGACCGATTACCGTCTAAACATAATTCATTTTTTTTTTTTTTATTATGAATTATCTTTTTAAAAAGTATATAGCCTTTTCCGCTTCGTGTTTTTTTTGTTTTTTTTTAACGAAATTCGCTTTGGACAAGCATGATATTTATAGCACAGGGGTCACCAAACTTTTTCACCGCGGGCCGGAAAACGGACAAAATGACAAGCGTGGGCGGTCCTATAATCATTCTGTACAAAACTCGCAAGCCAGAACGGAAGCTCTGGGACACAAAAGACGAAAATTTAAGTCTGGTATTCCATGTTAATCATGGGTGAGTGGCGTGCAATACACACACACAAAAACAGACAACCAACATATTTATTTAAAACAAGTTATCAAAGAAGGTCACGTTTTGCAAAAAGATAGTTACATCAGTCCTAATACTAGTAATACGCACATATTCCAATCTCACAACCTAAGCAGCAAAAAATAGGTTAGTGAGATTTGTGAAAGTGACGTTTGGCTTTCAAGATATCAAATTTTGGTTTTGGAAATGCTGCATCCAGTCAAGAAAATTGCTTTTTTTTTTAATGTTCATGAGTCACTCTCGTTCAATGTGTTGACTTCACATACTTCAATTTTTAAAATGTTTGCTCACAGACATAAGTTGCTCCAAACACTGATCTGAAAATCTCTCCAAATAAATTCTTCTTCATAGCATAAACGACTGTTTTCAGTACATAAGAAACATCCAAGTCTTTCCCACAGAGTGCTTGCTGATGTATGATGAAGTGTACGAACAGAGCGCCAGAGCGTGCAAATCTTCCAATTGAGTCTGCCCCACCCAGACCTTTCCTTACTCCAGCCATGTTTTTCGCCCATCAACTATAACACCTCGAAGCTGATTCCGCTGAAGGTTATAGTGTGCTAAATTGTGTGCGCTTCCATGAAAATGTCTTTTCCAGATCTTGTTCTGTGTATTCTGCAAACGGATGACTACTCCATCGTGATCTGCAAGTCCAAATTAACATAACAAATAAACACGAGACGTTGTGACGTACTCGAGAGTTTCGTAGACTCATCCAACGCCAGAGAATAACACAGTAAGTACCTAGCTTTCTCTGTAACTGTAGCTCTATGTTCCTCTGTTCTCAGCACTAGTGAACTTGCCGAAAGGCTGATCATTCCAGCCGCGGCGAGTATGATTTTTATGCCTCCGTTTGGTTCCAAAACTCCTCTTCTTTCCTTTCACCCATTTTGTGGTAGCTATCAGACTATACTATATTAGCGGAAAGAGGCTTAATTGATATTGATTCTAATTTTATTATTAAGTTACTTGGTAGGTTTTTAAAATGATTTCATCATTTGTTAATTAATTATTATGGAAATACATTTAATTTGTTTTATGCTGATCTGACTTCGAGTTTGAAGCACGTTAAATTTCACCAGTATCTTTATTTTGACCAGTGGCAGACTGGGTTAATGTGATTTATACGTCCAATCAATATAAATTATTATCTATAGCAGATACACGTCTGAAAAAAGTGAACGCAGATTGTAATATAAACGTCAGTCATCGACTTTTAGAATTTAACTTGTTTGACGCTAGCTTAATTCGATCCTACTAGGCACAGCGATGCGAGAAGTTATTGAATTCATTATATATATATATATATATTATATATATACACTGTATCATTATTTATTTACTATTAAGATACCGTATTGTACGACTTTGAGACGATATTTTACGATTTTAGGAGTTCGAGGGTAAACGAGTCTGTAATTTAAACAAGAACATCTAGAAACAATAATTGAAATGGTAAATTTAAGGCGCATAGCAGACATGAGGTCTCCGCACGTGTGAACATCTCCTGATTTTCTAAACATAACATTTAAATTGTATCACAGCGTCTCGTGTTCCATTTGTTTTATCAAGCAAATTCAACTACCGTCGGCGGGCCTGATGACCGGACGTCGCGGGCCGGATGCGGCCCGTGGGCCGTAGTTTGGTGACCACTTTAGGGGCCGTCCATAAAGTACGTCACGCTCCAGGAGGGGGGGGTGTAAGAAAGTGTGACAGTTTGTGACAGAGGGCAGGGGGTCAGGCCATGTGTGACGTCACACATTTTTTTTGTTTTAAATTTTATTTCTAAATTGTTTTTTTTTTTTTTTTTGTAGAATTTAATAGTTTAGCTTTAAAAATAATTTTCAAAAATTTTTTGAAAAATTTTAATTAGTTTTTTGTTAAAATAGCATGAAATGCGTATTTCAAAAATTTTGTGAAACATTTGAATTAGTTTTATGTCAAAATAGCATGAAATGCGTATCTCCTGAATGTGTTGTTCACGATTCCTCTCGCTAGGAGCGCTAGTATGCTGTTGCGAAGCCTTGTTTTGTATATAGCCTTGCCGAGATCAACAGGAGTTTTCAAAGTATGATCTTTATTGTCCATCTTTGCAGACCAGCTTACTTGATCGAATTTGCAAAGTGTGTCACTTATACTTTGCCTCAAAAACAATGTTGAAGAAACATGCAGGACAACACAGAGCTCGGACTCGGGAGAATGTGCCAACCCAAACTGTTCCAGAATCAACTCAGATAAAACGCATCAATCCTTTGAGAATCGCTGCTAGAAGGCAAAGAGAACTCATGGCAGTTATTGCCAGAAGAGAAAATGCACATTCGGAGGATGTTGAGTGGCTAGATGAGGATGAAGTTGATCTGTCTGCAATTATCCTTCCAGGAAACGATGATGGTGAAAGATTGATGCCAGTCGTTACTATGGATGAACACTTCACTTCACCATGAATTGATGATACCCATTGAATATTTTTTAATGAAACATAA